AAGCGATTCGGGGTCGGTTGGGGGGAAGGTCGTGTTTGGAAAAGGGGGCAAATGTACAGGTCGGCACTTGTTCAATGGATCCGCTGCCACCAATTGAGAAGTGGATGTGTTCGACACTTTGATATAGGCATGGAGGGTTCAAGTACCTTCTGACTAGATTTGTGGATCCATGCGGATGGATTGTTGGGCTTTGATGCTTCAGGACGCGTGCACTTGGTAACCACCCCGTTCAGGTTTTGGACATATTTGCTCTCCAAACCACTCAGGTGACCCCAACTAATGACAATTCATCACCACACGTGATGACTTGGAGGATCTTGGGCCTCATTTGGGGGTTGCTGGAATCATTCAAAAACATGTCTGGACCAGAAGTCCCAGTTTTAGGATGAAGCGCCTGAGGGCAGGAGGGATCCATACTGTTCCATGTATATAGTTTTTTCTCCCCAGACTAGGCCTTTGAACGTCCCACGTCCTCAGGTATACTGGACCCGACCGACCCGACGTACCCGACTGACTGGGGCATGCCATACAAACAGCGACCCGACGTCGGTTACCATACGTCGTACCATACTGTACCAACCCATCCTTCCAGGGCACAACAGGAGGACCTCCTGAGAGGATGGTACAACATCTTAGTACCATCTGAGTACCCTGGGGTCGACTCCAGGTATCACCACAGACCTCCCCACCCTTCACACCAACCTCGTGCCTGCCGGGCGCGCACGCTGCGCGTCGTGAGGCGCCTGACCCTTCTCCACGGCTGATGCTCCACTGCCTCCGTGTGCAGGTGGAGGGTCAGGAGATCCGAGCGCCCGAGGCCAGGGGAGCGCCATGATGGGCATCTGTGAGGCTCCCAAAAGCCCAGAGACGAAGCATGTTTTGTTTTTTGTGGTTGGCGTGTGGAAAGCTTCACTCAACTCTAACAAGCGGGAAAACATGTTGAGTATATTATGGTCCTACGTAGTTATTCAGAATTCATGTTGTATGATATTTGGAGTTTCAGTAATTACAATTTTAGCATCAGCTTTCTTAATACAATGCGCGCAGACTTTGACACAAATATATGGAGAAGGTTTGTTTATATACAAAATTATAGAAGGCTATTTGGAATCAATATGAACCTATGGATGTACAGGGTAAGCTGTTCAGGTCTTGTCCTTCTCCAGGATTTGCGTGCAAACCTCGAGATTGAGCGCGAGTTGGTGGACCTGGAGGAAGCTGAGACAGAGCTGATGCATCTCAGCGTGGATTCTGAAGAGTTGTCCTTCAAACAATGCCACATCAGCAGCAAGTTGCTTGAGAAAGGTACCATTTGGTACCAAAGAACCAAGCCATCTTGAAAGATTTGAAAGGGTACCAAAGAACCAAGGGGAGAGACTCTACTAAATTTGTACCAAACTCTGTAGTATACAATACCCACCCTCCAGCAACCAAGGTCACCATCCCCAAACAACTGCGGATACTCGTGGTCGGCCCTCAGCCGACCTGGTGGTCGGCCCCGGCAGTCAGCCCAGGTTGGCAGAGGATGGCCCTGAGCTGCCGGATACCTGGGACACCTTCGCAGGCGCCTGAGCCAACCGGCGAGCCGTGGCCGGCGGTGATGGTTCAAGGGCTGAAGGGCTCAGCTTGTTGCACACTGGTTTGGAAAGGACCAGTGTTGTGTGTAGATCCAATCTGTAGATCCTTGGAGCCCTTGTGGGGATCGGGGTGGGTTGTTTGCGCCAAAGAAACATCGAAGACGTGAAGGATCGGAAGAGCGCTCAGACACACACACTCTGCGCGCTAGGTGGCTTGCCTTCGCAGATCCTGGATGACACATCGTGGGACCGCCTCCAGGCTGCGAAGTGAGGGACTTAATTAGTTTTTATATTAGTACCAGCACCTTCCAAGAGGTGTCTATTCACAGCCTCTTAAGAGGTTAAGGGGTGTCCAAAAACCACGTGTTGGAAGGTCCTGGTATATAGTGAATATGGCCTTTGCACAAAGGCAGAAACCAGCTTCCCCAGGTCGTTTGATCATTTGTACACCTTTCTGGTTTCTGAAGAGCATGGTATCCATCAATCTTCAATCACCGGCTGGATCCTGAACTGCATGGAGATTCTGAAGCTCTCCCAAGACAAAAACAACCAAACACCTTCACCCAAGTAGATCCAACATCTCCCAACACAAACATCAGCACACCATGCACATGAACTTTCTTCACTCCACACCACGCCTCCCCCGGGGCAATCCTTTCTCCCCCCCTCTTCGCTCCACACCTCGCACCACCTCGCCACCAACCCGCGCCGCCTCCGCGTCCGCTTCCGCTCGGCGGCGACCGAGGTCTGCGGCTCCCCCCGGGCGGTGCGGAGCCCGCCCTACGGGCCGGCGCAGTGGGATGAACGCACCCAGGCCTTCGAGGAACGGCAGGAGGCGAGGCAAAGACCCGGCCGGGCCGAGGAGGAGGACGGAAACGGCCAACAAAAAAGGGGGGTGAGCGGGTATAGCGGGGGTGGGACAGCAAGAACAGTGCGTTCTAGGCACGCTGAAGCAAGCTGTTTCAGAAGTAATGAAGGAAGGATGAAATTTAGATGTAATTCAGTATGTTCATGGTTCATGTTTCTAGTAGTCTTGGACAGTAGACTGCTTGGCAGACTGCTTTGAGCCGTGCCATTTTCTGCATCTCGTCAGCCTCAAGACACCGCAAACACGCAAACAGGCAGGAGCAGAATGAAGAAAAAGACCACCCAAGCATCCGTGCTTCCGCTGATTGGAAGAGTTGAAGGAAGAGCTCATGGTTTTCAGAGCTGAATAGTAGGGCAAACCATCGGGTCATATCGGGCTAGACTACCCTGCACTATACAGGACACCCGTCGGACGCATGCTCGACCGGATGAATTACCGCAACGCATGGAATGAGTCACCTCAGTACGGCGACTCAGGGGGACGCTCTATAGTGCACTGGGCAGGACGCTTATATGTGGACGCCAACGCCACTGGAAGTGGTCTTTTTGCCAGTGGCAGTGGCAGGGTTTTATGATGTTTCCATGTCTTCGGGGAGATAACACAGAAACCGAATTGGATACATGTCGGATCAAAGGAGCTCGGAGTAAACACCAAAACATCCCCAAAGCGGTCCGCGTGAAGTTCCGAACTCTGGATGGACCCAAACCTGTACCATGGTTTGCTCAGAGTGTTTGTTTGACATGACGCATGACAAATGTAAGTCCTTCAGTTCACCATTAAAAAAGATATGTTTCATCCCAAGATATCCCATGAAGTATATATGTCCATCTCGTAATCCAACTGGCCCCGAATGCCCCGAAAGGCACTAATTGAGGAAGTTCCAAGTGTAGAGACTGACCCCCAAGCGCCCCAAGTCATTCCAAAACTGGGTCACTCTCGGTTCCAGAATGGGTTCCACTGACCCCAACACTGGTCGTGGATGTTCACCAACTGGTCTTGGATTCCACGACCAGAATGGTCCATTTTGACACCAGCTGTCCGGTGGGAACGCCACGCTTAGGAGCCGAAGCCTCAATGGATTGGTGAGGAGCAACATCTACAGGAAAGCATGGGGTTCACCCGTTCACCCCCACCATATTTTTGTTGTTTCTTTTTTCTACAGGTTTTTTGGTTTCTATGATTTTCTATGGTCCACTCAGTCCACTCCATAACCTGGTAAAACCATGATGTTCACACCCAAAACTATGAGAGGTTCCTGGAACATGTTCCCTTATATTGAGGCAGTCAATGGGAAACCGGGTTGGCGACCTGCTGTTGAGATATTGGCAGAAGGAGGATCTGTGAAAGACCCAATGAAAACAAGAGACATGATGGGATTTGCTCTTGGAGATGTGGTATTCATAGACTAAAAGAGTTGCATAGATCAAGTTACTGCACGTGTTTATTTGAGATGGGGATTCAGGAAGAATGAATTGTCGATGTCCTCAATTTTTCAGGCCCGAGTTCGAGCTCTCGTGCGACTGCGGGTTTGCCTTTGGCGACGAGGAGAGCTGGATGATTTGGGGCCACTCCAGCTGGTGGCAAAAGCGCCAAAGTGTCGTGATTTGTGTTTCCAAGTGTTTTTGGGAAGCCCCCCCCCTGCACCAAAGCTAGCAATGTCATGTTGTCCTCATTCTCGGGATCGCCAGATGATTCATGTGATGCCAGCTGTTCCAATCATATTTTAACATTCCCTTATTCGGGATAACGATATGTGAGAATCCAAGTGAACTAATGATCACATTGGCTTCAAAATGCCATTCAAGCTCTGCAACATCATAGAACATTGTGCATGCTTCCGAACATGTTTCGAACAGAGTCTCCCCCAAAAGGTTGTTCCATGGATGTGCTAGATACTGCCACCAGTTTGTTTTTCGTGCCATCTGAGAGATTCTCAGAACCTACGCTTTTGCGGTTCTCATTCATTCTACAATCCAAACCTAGGTTCTCAGAATGTGAAAATTGAAAATAACGATTTGTAGGTTAGCATGTGAATGGTTCAATCCAAAACCTACAATCCAAAGCTACCTGGACCTTCATTTCGGGATGTCCTGCACCTTTCAATATCCTTTATAGTCGTTGGGCACACGTGCTGACCCGCCAGGTGACCCCCGGAATGAAGCCAGGGGCTTCCGACCTTGGCAGCTTCCGACCTTTGGGTTGTTCAACCGTGTGGATTCGCCCAAGCCTATAGGCCTACAGTAGCAGTGGTGTGTGTGTGTGCAGTGGCAACTGCGCTGGTGTGCTATTTTTGTTTATGAATGACAGGTTGGAACCACATAGGCTTGCTGGAGCTCGTGCTTGGATCTGTTGGCTTCAGAATGGATTGACATGTTAAAAGCAAACAAAACACATCAGAGGCTTTGGATATGGCAGCATAGTGCACAAATTGGCACTCACACTGGTAAGTTTGGAGACAGATGGTAGGTCAAAACCTGCGATAGAAACTGGTGTAAGTACTTGCGTTCATTGCTCTCACGCTGGTCATTGATTTCCGGTGTCACTGCTCTTGCGAGATGGAAGATCCATCACCGGTCATTTCCACTTCGCAACCCTTAGAGGTGATCAATGATTTAGAAGTTGCCTTTGAAGTTGCTGAATCCACGGAAGGTCCGTGGCAGGTGCTATATCCCAAAGGCCGAGTTCAAGTGACCGGGGAATCCTTCCAAGTGCGGCTGCGTGAAGATGACACCATCGCAGTGACTGTGAAGACTTTGTTGTTTGCTGGGAAGCCTGAGATGAAGGTGACGATTTCTGAAATGGATGAAGACTTCTGCACAAGGGTGGCACACTGGCTGCAGCAGGAGCGACAAGACACTTGGCAAGAGACCAAGCAATCGAGACGGAGAAAAGAAGAAATCGATGAGATGACCAGATCCAATGCATTTCGAAGGAAGGTTTGTTCCTGGGAGGCCTTTGTGCTGACCTTTGCAATCCTTTGTTTGCTTTGTTTCCTTGCCTTGGTGGCGGCCGCGGTGTGGAGTTATTCTGATATCATTGCATACATTGCTGTGGCTGCCGGGCCTTGTTGCTTGTCCTCATTCTTCCTTTGCATCGCCAGCCGTGAAATGCAGGACACCGGAAGATGCACATGCCAAATGCTTTGGCTTGTGCTGGCTTACCTTTGGGGCTTGGCCTGCTTGATCGGCACCATCGGGTGGAAGAACCTCTTCCTCGTACCTTTTGCCTTCGGCCCGTTCCTTTGTGTCGCTGCGCGCCACGTGTGCTCAGCCGCCGGCTGTTGTGGCAAACGGTGGCATCGGGAAGCAGAGCTCTTCGTCCGGGAGACGACCATCATGTTTGAAGGAAAGGTCATCGAGGAGTTGCTTTGCATCACTTGAAGTTCAGAGTTCTTGGTTATTACCCAGACGCTCCTGGACCCTCACATGGGGGGATCGGTCCCTTCTGGGGTCAAACCAATCCCTAAGGTTTGGAGCGTTTGTGTAGTTCATTTGCTGCTAACAGCGTCATCCACAAATTCCTTTGGCCGTGCCACGGGGGGGACAAAAACTAACAACTTGCAACTCCTGGTACTGGCGTCCAGGTTCGACCCTGTGTAATAGTTTGTGTGTTCATGTGTGTTGATTCATGTTGTGTTTTCTATAGATTCACGATTTGTTGATTAATGATGATCATATTCTTAGTTGTGTGTACAACTTCTCAAACACAAAGTCCCTACAAGCAAAGCCCCTCCACAGCCAACACAATCAACTTGCCATTTGCGTCGAGGCCCGGCACAGCCTGCGTTGCCTCCTGGCCCGGCATCTACGCAACCGCATGGCACTACTTGGCAATGCGTGCCCGAGGTGGACAAACAAGCGCGGCAGTAGTTTTCCTACCCAAGGGTACCCAGCACTACGGCAAGCACTACCCAATTCCGAAAGAGGAGGGGCTACAGGGTGAATGCTGGTGCTTTGCACTTTATGGGGAGAAGAAGGAATGGGGCTGCCAGTGGTGGTCAGTATGGATTGAGAACGTCTACAGGGCTATGGTGTGCGGCGCTGTCCTTCACGTGTATTACTGCGAAGGGTTCTGCGGTAGAGGAAAGGCCGCAAGTTTTGCCACTGTCGGGCAAGAAAATCTTGTCAGAGAGAATGTGGAAAAAAAAGATGGAGGACTTTAGTGTGTCCAAAGAGTTTCAGGATGCCGCTCAAGCTGGTTTGTGCAGGCTATCAGACGAGCAGAGGTATGATGGCTCATCGCAATTCAGCCGGGAAATGAAGCGCCTCTTCCGGAAATGGCTGCCGCTTGAAGATCTCAAAACTTTAGAAGATTTAGATGGCCTGGGACCTTCCCAGCGAGCTGAAGTAGCCTGGCTAGATCGGAAGGGATATCCCTACATCGAGATGGATGTGTCACCATTTCTCCACACGCAAGAAGAAGATCTTGCGGCTCGACCTTTCCCCTATTGAATGAGATTTCGCCTTAGTACATAACTGCTTGATTGTCAGATTTTACTTTTTAACATGCCAGATGTTTTTGTTCCACTCCACGTTGTGACCGGGCGGTGTAAGCTGACAGATTTGCCATGATTTGCCAGCGTGATTTGGTTTCACTGGGAATCGCAGTTTGCACAGAAAGTGACGGAAGAAGTTGAAGCAGAAATCCACTCAGTGGCCCTCCTTGTTCCTGTTGTTTTTGCAATCCACTCAGTGGCCGGTCACGTTACACCGATCCCCCACCCCTGGACCGACCGAATTCGCATTGAGACGGCCACCAGCGCCGGCGATGGCACCGATCGAAGCGAAAGGCTTCGAAGAGAAAACCGCTCAGATGCGGAGTGACGTCGTGTGGAAGTCGCGCTCTTCTAAAGACGCCTATATAGATCCAAGAGGACCAGGACCCACAAGGGGCGGTGTGTTTTTTGACACCCCTTATGACCTCTAAGGCTTTAGGGGCTTAGAAGGGGGGGTGTCCTGGGATGACCAGAATGTGTTCGTCGGCGTCGCAAGACATGTTGCGTCGGAGTGGTCGGACGCACCTCGCTGAACCGCACGGAACCTCGGTGGGGTCGGACGTCTCCATCCTCGCCACCGGTGTGAAGATGGGTCTTGGGGCACGGCTCGAAGCGGACGGATCGCGGAGGATCGAGATGGGTCAACACCTGCGAGCGATGTCAGAGTAGCTTGCGTGAGCCAGCTTGAAGTCCTTTCGCAAAACTCTAGGTTCATAGACCTTGGTTAACCCTATCCTTGTAATATCTTGTAGTATCTTTACGTGCTATAGAACCTGAGTGCCCCCTGTTTGGGAGCCAAAAACATGATTTTGTTCCCCATCATGACGGTGACATGAGTTGACTCAAATGTGGCCGTTCCACGTTTGAAAAGGATGCGGTTTGAGTGGAGGATCCGCCTTCTCCACCTTCGCCACTCGTCTTCGCGCAGGATCCGCGAAGCGCACTCGACTGCCGTGCTCGAGGACCACCATGCCGCAAAGCGCAGGGTAGGACTGCCGGGACTGCGCGAGGTTGGGGAGGTAGCGAGATGGCGAGATGGTTGTGGACACGGGCGTGTTTTCGACCTAAACGAAGTTGAGCGGAAATGATTGCCGAATGAAGAGTCAATGAAGATCTAGGTAATTATAGAACCGTAGATGGAAGGATGGTTGGTGGATGCAGATTAGCCATCAGCATCCTCGAAGGTGGTTGCGTTGGGCTCATAGAGGGGAGGATCACGCACAACTGCTGCCTATTCATGAGATGTGTTAGATTTGTTCAATCAGTAGAAGGTATATAGATGTTGCTCCCTTACTTACCTTAGTATATCTTAGTATCCTTAGTTGTGCAGCAGTGTCAGAAACCCGGAAATGGAAGTGCTTTTTTTGTAGAATGAATTCCCTGAGATCACGAAAGAGCTTGATTTCCCAGGATGTGTTTAATATCATGGATTCTACGTAGGATCTATTCTATTTTGACACATCCAATTGCCCGGTTCGGTAGTGTCCTGGTTTTGGGAATCCTGGGCGAAAGCGGATGTGGTTCGCCTGCAAGGGATGGCGACTCTGGACGCACGGACGCGCTGACTTGGTTTGGTCAACGGGTGTTGTTTTTGGAAAACTGCTGCAACACCGATCCGTGGATGCGGATGAGTATGGAGGACCAGAGGCACCAAGATGATGGCAACAGCTTGGGGTTGTCCGAACTTACCATGTAACAGTCGGTTTACAAATATCACTATTTTGCTTTTGATGAAACGCTTGCTATGTCTATTCACCTTTGCTGGTAATGGGAAAAGCCCAAGCAATAGCGAGAATCCGACTTCCCTGACCTCCTCACTGCCCAGGAGCCTCACATAGCCTGATCGCCCTTTCACCTCAGCTGGTGTGTCGGAGGAGACTGGGTTGAGCGATGTGAAGTTCACAACGCCCAACCGTTGCGTGCCATTGATGGAGACTGATGAAGACCTTTTCCTTCAAAAGTCAAGGCATCCAGCGTCACTGCTGTTTGTTTTGCTGCTTGATTTACACACTCACTTGACCCAGTGCGCGCCGGCGGAAGGCAGTCCGCACTCCGCTGCTTGATTTACAAAATTAAAGACGACCTCAGATCATCGGGATACCGACTTTTGCTGCCATGGAAATCCATGTAGCTATGTTGCTCCAATGGTTTGGGAGATGATTGCTCTTAGGGATGCCAGCAAAGCACTATACAATGGTACTTATACAAGCTTTCCTGCACCACAAAACCGCATGGCAGGTTCTTAATCTCGCTCCTCTGGGTTTTCAGCCTTTGGCTCCATTCAACATGCTCAATCGAAATCTGAAGGTTTCAAGGATTTGAGGAATCGATCAGACCAGAAAATTCAGCAATCATATGATACAGAAAAACCTATCTTCAGCTCAAACCTGCTTCATCCCAAGAGCTAAACAACTTGATCCACATTTTGACGCATCGCCCACAGCCTGCTCAAAGATGGACGAAGAGGCACCGCTTTTTAGTGCGTGGAATCCCTTGGAGGTGATCAATGACTTGCAGGTTGCCATTGAAGTTGCTGAAGGTCCAGGTCCATGGCGGGTGGCGTATCCCGAAGGCCGAGTTCAGGTGACCGGGGAATCCTTCCAAGTGCGGCTGCGTGAAGATGACACCATCGCAGTGACGGTGCTGACGTCAGAGCTCGCTCTCGGACGCGAGAGGAAGGTGATGGTGTCTGCAGTGGATGAAGAGTTCGGTCGAAGGGTGGATATCTGGCTGCAGCAGGAGCAAAAGGCCATTCGAGAGGAGGAGAAGCAGCGGAGACGGAGAAGGGAAGAGCTGGAAAAGATGATGAGATCAAGTGAACGTCGAGTTAGAAATTGGAGCATTGTCTCTCTATCTATTTGGAGCCTTGTATATGGTGCGTTGGCTGGTTCCTGTGGATCATTGGTTTGGACGGGTCCAAATTTAAACATCTACGACTACGTTCATTCGCATTCGATAGGCCAGTCAGCGTGGCCCTGCGTGCTTGGATGTGCTATGGGTGCTTGGCTGGCCTCGCTCTTTTTCTGCCTGGCCTGGGCGTTGCCCAACACCAAAGTATGCCAAGTGGGGTTGGGTATTGTTGGATTTGCTACTAGTCTTTACAATGTCTTTTACTTTCTCAGGATGATTACTTTAACCCGAGACACTCACGAAGTGCCTCCAGACGTGTTGTTTGCGGTTTGTAGCTCATGGGGCACTGTATGGGGCCCCTTGATCGGCTTCCTGATGCGCCATATGTGCTTGGCCGACGGCCTGGATCGCCAAAGGTGGCGCCGAGAGGCGGAGAACCGCGTCCGCGACCGGACGATCATGTTCGAAGGAAAGATCAGTGAGGAGTGGCTATGCCTCACTTAACTTAAGTATTTATGCGTGTTCATGTGTTTCACAAAATGCTTTTATGTTGCCGTAAGGAAGGAAGTGAAGCTTTCAATTAATTTCACGACCTTATTTGCACTCGTCTTGAACCTTTTTGATAGTTCGTCAATGAATGTGCTTTCCTCATTCCTCCAATCATTTGCTTATTAACCTTTTGCCCACAAAGACCCTACAAGCAAACTCCTTCCACCTCCCATCAACATGTTGGTCTTTGTTGAGGCCTGGCACAGCCTGTATTGCCTCTTGGCCGGGCCTCTACGCAACAGCCTGGCATTACTTGGCGCGACAAGCCCGAGGTGGGCAAACAAGCGCAGCAGTAGTTTTCCTTCCCGAGGGCACTCAGTATTATGGAAACCACAGCCCAATCCCCGAGGAGGAGGGCTTGTGTGGCGCTTGTTGGTGCTTGGCACTCTATGGAGAAGAGAAGGAATGGGGCTGCCAGTGGTGGTCAGTATGGATTGAGAACATCCACAAGGCCATGCAGTATGGTGTTGTCCTTCATGTGTACTTTTGGGAGGGTCTCCGTAGCAAAGGGAAGGTGGCAAGTTTTGCCACTGTCGGGCAAGAAAATCTTGTTAGAGAGAGTGTGAGAAAGAAGATGCAGGACTTTGAGAGGTCCAAAGAGTATGCGGATGCCAAGCAAGCTGGCTTGCTGAAGCTTTCTGACAGGAAACGCTATGATGGCTCGTCCCAACAGAGCCGGGAAGTCCAGCGCCTCTTCCGGAAGTGGCTGCCACCCGAAGAGTGCAGGATTATAGAAGACGCAGAAGGGCTGGGAGATTCCCAGCGAGCTGAAGTAGCCTGGCTCGATCGGAAGGGATATCCCTACATCGAGATGGATGTGTCACCCTTTCTCCAGCCATCAGATGAAGGAGACGCACAAGTTCAGGAGGCGGGAGACGAAGCAAACACCTGTCGACCAAGATGCGATTTCATTTGCAGGTGTTGTCGTAGGGTGAGCAATTGGTGGCGGTCAAGATCATCTCAAGAGCAGCTGCAAGAGCATTTGCTTTCAACTGCTTGAATCAGCTTTTAGCCGCAGTTCGTCAAGTCATCCAAGCAGTTCGACTTTTATGATATACTCTCAAACATGAGACTTACTTACTGCAATCGCCTGATTATTTAGAGTAGATTTGATGGACCCGTATCGCTTCATCCCGTTTGTCGTTTTTGTTCGTCACCGGTGTGGCAACTGCTTAGAAGCAATCTTGTCAGCGCTGAAATTGCAAAATGAAGAAGCAGATGCGGCTCCTGCGGCTTCCTGCGGCTCCTGGCCCCCCGACAACCCAAGAACAGGTTGGGCTCAGTTGATTTCATTCTGACAGATGAATGACTCTATATAACCTCCTGTTCATGTTAACTGGTGGGCTACGGTGGGCTTGTTAGAATGACAAATCTTACGACATAGGCAGATGCCAGTTTGGGAAGCCGCTCGGATGACAGCAGAGGTACTTCTGATGTGGCTCACACAAGCTGGGGAACAAGATCCCAGATCCCAGGATCCAAGGTCAACTCACCACCGGATGTACCCCACTGAAAACTAACATAGACCCTGAAAACCACTGGTGCAGCTAGAGGAAAACAGTCTTTCAGGGTGCCATTCGACCTGGGTCCATGTTAGTTTTCGGGAGTGTATAGATTCTATACTCTCAGTATAGAACCTCCGAGAAGGCAGTTTACCAGTATGCTTGGTCCATCATGACTAGTTGCTTCAATCATGGAGCTGTGCTGACAACTCGTGTCATCACGCTTAATCAAAGTCTCAAGACCTTCAGACCAGCTGATTCCTGTCGTTTCAGGAGCGGCAGCGCATGGACACCCAGAACAAAGAACTTGAGATCTGAAGTTCTTCCAGATCAAGGCGGCGACAAAGATGGAGGGAAGTGTGGGTTGAGCAAGCACAGGATGGTGGGACTTGTGGGGAAAGTTCATTTAGGTCATTTTGGCCGCAAAGATCTTACAACTCATTCAAGTGGAATTGTCTTTGTCGATCGAGGGTAATAAGTACTGCCTTTGACACTGAACTCGTTCCAAGCAACTTTTGTAGATCTCAACAAGCATCAAGAACCAGACGAAGAGTTGAGAGGATGGCATGCAATAGGGACGCATGCTGATAATACAGGGTAATTAGGTGTCTATGAATGACTCTTGAGTCTAGGCATATGGGTTTGTCACAATGGTCATGTGTTCCCCGTGCTGGGCACCCCATTGTATAGATCAACATGTACTCTTGATTTGTCATGAATCTGTTTTGACCCAGGTGAGGTGGGAAGTGATGGCCTAATCAACAGGTTGGTTTGATATTGGCATAGATAAGGTGGACAAGTCAACGAGAGTATGTGGTTTTGTGTTTTACTCTTCCTCCCATGATCATTAGCAGCTTTAGTCTTTGCATGCTTCAATGTTATCGGCTCTCTTCAACCCTGTGCAAGCTCAGCAACAGCAACTTTGCGTGCGGATTGCTTCCGATTTCCCTGCGAATTTGCCGTTAAAATCGTTAAAATGTAACACACATGGGTTTCGTGGAGTGAAAACCACCTGTTTGGTATTCGGAAAAGGGGGGGTCCATGAGGACGTTTCAGGGAATGTACTTCTTGCTTGATGAAACGCTCATCTTCGCCAGGATTCGCGAAAGCTCCACTCGACGGCAAGGACGAGGACCAGCGTGCCCATTATCTACACCTGCGGCCCATTTGATGAGAGTAGAAGGTATAGATGTTGCGAATCCCCGGGTTAGGGCGTTAGGGTCTGGGGGTTCGAACCAATCCCTAAGGTTTGGAGGGACCGCGAAAAGGAGGTTTGTCCGGTGCCAATTGGTATGTCAGCGCGCTTCAGGAGTGGAAACTCAGGAGGGCGTCACTCAAGCAGGACTCGCGGCACGCGAGGAAGGGGGAAGAATTCATAGGCTGAAGGAAGGGTCCAGAATTGGAAGGAACTGAGAAATCATATGGAGGATGCCGATTTATACTGCATGCGCAAGTTTTCTGGGTTGAGGTTTGGATGTTCCAGAGATATTGTTTTTGAGGTTGTTTTCCCTTGCTGACTGATCTGTAGAAGCACGCTTCAGGAGTGGAAGCGGAACGCCTGAAGCGCAGGGAGGACCTGTGTGCGACGGAGGGAGCATTGCATGATAGGTTAGAATACTCCGGAGATACTCTTTCTTACCTTAGTCGTTGGGCAGATTGTGTCCGAAACCGGGAAATGGATGTGCTCTTTTGTACAATATGAATTCCCTGAGAGAACGTAAGAGCTTGACCTCCCAGGATGTTCCAATAGCATGGATTCCGAATGAAGTTGCCCTGTCCGGTAGTGTCCTGGTTTGGGAATACTCGGCAATTCCTGGGCGACTTGAAATGGCTGCAGAATGCTGAAGAACTGGAGAAAGCGGATGTGGTTCGACTGAAAGGGGGGGCGACTCGAGACGCACTTTGGCCACCGGTGTTGTTTTTGTCGGGGGACATGCCGCATCACGGATCAATGGATGCAGATGAGTAATAGAGGACCAGAGGCACCAAGAGATTTTGTACCAGTCGGTGAACAAGCAAATCACTATTTTGGAGAAAGGCCTGCAACTGAACCACCCATCATCATCATCATCATCCACCTGGGCCCTTGTAATGGGATAGACTGATAGACCCAAGCAATAGCGAAAATCCGTTGAATGACACATCAACTCCCCTCACCTCCTCACTGCTCAGGAGCCTCACATAGCCTGACCTTTCACCTCAGCTGGTGCGTCCGAGGAGAGTGGGTTAAGCAATGTGAAGTTCACACCACTGCGCAACCATTGCGTGCCATTGATGGAGACCTTTTCCTTCAAAATGTCATCGGGATACCGACTTCTGCCCTTCCGCGGATGATATGTATTGTTGCTTGCTGGGAGAGTCCCCCAGGGCATCACCCCTTTGTACTTCTTAGATTGTCCGTGCTCTTTGGGTTGTTGAATTGTGTGGCAAAAGATAACACAAAACAACTCAAGTGTTCTCCAATCGTTTGGGAGATGAATGCTCTGAGGGATACCAGCAAAGCACTAAGTTCTAAGCTTTGGTGCACCGCACAAACTTTAGGTTCCAAATCGCGGTTTTATGGGTCTTCACCCATTGGCTCCAGATCACATGTACCTGTTCAACATGTCCCTTCAAATTCTGAAGGTTCCAGTGATTTCAATAATTCAATTATTACAACTAAATAGAAAACCTATCTTCAGCTCAAACCTGCTTCATCCCAAGAGCTAAACAACTTGATCCACATTTTGACGCATCGCCCACAGCCTGCTCAAAGATGGACGAAGAGGCACCGCTTTTTAGTGCGTGGAATCCCTTGGAGGTGATCAATGACTTGCAGGTTGCCATTGAAGTTGCTGAAGGTCCAGGTCCATGGCGGGTGGCGTATCCCCAAGGCCGAGTTCAGGTGACCGGGGAATCCTTCCAAGTGCGGCTGCGTGAGGAGGAAACCATCGTAGTGACGGTGCTGACCTCGCAGTTCGCTCATAGACGCGAGAGGAAGGTAGTGATGGTGTCTGCAGTGGATGAAGAGTTCCATCGAAGGGTGGATAGCTGGCTGAAGAAGGAGCAAACAGCCGTTCGAGATGAGGAAAAGCAGGGGAGACGGAGAGCAGAAGAGCTGGAAAAGATGACAACATCTAGTGAACTCATAGTCTTTTATCGTAGTCTTATTAACTTTGTGTTGTTTATATTTATGTCTTGGTCGTTTTGGACGAGTCTGGATCTCTACGATTCTGGATGTCCACAAGTCTGGCCCTACGTGCTTGGATATGCTATGTGTCTTTGCCAGGCCTTGCTCTTTTTCTACTTGGCCTGGGCATTGCCGAACACCGAAGAATGCCAAATGTATTTGGCTGTTGTTGGTTTAACTATTGATGGTCTTTTCACTGTTTTTTGGTTTCTCAGATTCACTTTAGCCCGAGACACTCACGAAGTGCCTCCAGATGCGTCGTTTGCACTTTTTGCCTCATGGGGCCCGTTGATCGGCTACACATTGCGCCATACGTGCTTGGCCGACGGCCTTTCTCGCCAAAGGTGGCGCCGAGAGGCGGAGAACCGCGTCCGCGACCGGACGATCATGTTCGAAGGAAAGATCAGTGAGGAGTGGCTTTGCCTCACTTAACTCATTTGTTGCCCGTTGCATTCATTTGCTTCGTTAATGTGTTAACATAACTTAACTATGTGTATTTTGTGTTTCATTGTGTTTCACAATATGCTTTTATGTTGCCGTAAGGAAAGAAGTGAAGCTTTCAACTAATTTCACGACCTTATTTGCACTCGTCTTCAACCTTTTTGATAGTTCGTCAATGAATGTGCTTTCCTCATTCCTCCAATCATTTGCTTAACCTTTTGCCCACAAAGACCCTACAAGCAAACTCCTTCCACCTCCCATCAACATGTTGGTCTCTGTTGAGGCCTGGCACAGCCTGTATTGCCTCTTGGCCGGGCCTCTATGCAACAGCCTGGCATTACTTGGCGCGACAAGCCCGAGGTGGGCAAACAAGCGCAGCAGTAGTTTTCCTTCCCGAGGGCACTCAGTATTATGGAAACCACTGCCCAATCCCCGTGGAGGAGGGGTTGTGTGGCGCTTGTTGGTGCTTTGCACTCTACGGAGAGGAGAAGGAATGGGGCTGCCAGTGGTGGTCAGTATGGATTGAGAACATTCACAAGGCCATGCAGTATGGTGCTGTCCTTCATGTGTACTTTTGGCAGGGTCTCCGTAGCAAAGGGAAGGTGGCAAGTTTTGCCACTGTCGGGCAAGAGAATCTTGTTAGAGAGAGTGTGAGAAAGAAGATGCAGGACTTTGAGAGGTCCAAAGAGTACGAGGATGCCAAGCAAGCTGGCTTGCTGAAGCTTTCCAATGAGAAGAGATATGATCGCTCATCGCAACAGAGCCGGGAAGTCCAGCGCCTCTTCCGGAAATGGCTTCCACCCGAAGAGCGCAGGATTTTGGAAGACGCAGAAGGGCTGGGAGATTCCCAGCGAGCTGAAGTAGCCTGGCTCGATCGGAAGGGATATCCCTACATCGAGATGGATGTGTCACCCTTTCTCCAGCCATCAGATGGAGACACACAAGACCAAGAGGTGGGAGACGGAGCAAGCGCCTGTCGACCAAGATTTGATTTCATTTGCAGGTGTTGTCGTAGGGTGAGCAATTGGTGGTGGTCAAGATCATCTCAAGAGCAGCTGCAAGAGCATTTGCTTTCAACTGCTTGAATCAGCTTTTAGCCGCAGTTCGTCAAGTCATCCAAGCAGTTTGACTTCTGTGTACACTCAAACATGAGACTTACTTGGACCCGTATCGCTTCATCCCGTTTGTCGTTTTTGTTTGTCACCGGTGTGGCAACTGCTTGGAAGCAATCTTGTCAGCGCTGAAATTGCAAAATGAAGAAGCAGATGCGGCTCCTGCGGCTCCTGGCCCCCCGACAACCCAAGAACAGGTTGGGCACGGTTGATTTCGTTCTGACAGATGAATGACTCTATTCACCTCCTGTTCATGTTAAGTGGGCTATGGTGGGCTTGTTAGAATGACAAATCTTACGACATAGGCAGATGCCAGTTTTGGAAGCCGCTCGGATGACAGCAGAGGTACTTCTGATGTGGCTCGCACAAGCTGGGGAACAAGATCCCAGCAGATCCCAGGATCCAAGGTCAACTCACCACCGGATGTACCCCACTGAAAACTAACATACACCCTGAAAACCACTGGTGCAGCGACCGAGGAAAACAGTCTTTCAGGGTGCGACCTGGGTCCATGTTAGTTTTCGGGAGTGTATAGATTCTATACTCTGAGTATAGAACCTCCGAGAAGGCAGTTTACCAGTATGCTTAGTTCATCATGAGTTGCTTCAATCCTGGAGCTGTGCTGACAACTCATGTCATCATGCTTAATCGAAGTCTCAAGACCTTCAGACCAGCTGATTCCCATCGTTTCAGGAGCGGCAGCGGAACAAAGAACTTGAGATCTGAAGATCTTCCAGATCAAGGCGGCGACAAAGATGGGAAGTTGGGTTGAGCAAGCACAGGATGGTGGGACTTGTAGGGAAAGTTCATTTAGGTTATTTTGGCCGCAAAGATCTTACAACTCATTCAGGTGGAGTTGTCTTTGTCGATCGAGGGTAATAAGTACTGCGTTTGACACTGAACTCGTTCCAAGCAACTTTTGCAAATCTGAACAAGCATCAAGAACCAGATGAAGAGTTGAGAGGATGGCATGGAATAGGGACGCATGCGATGCATGCTGATAATACAGGATAATTAGGTGTCTATGAATGACTCTTGATTCTTGGCATAGGGGTTTGTCACAATTCGATCCTAGGCCTGTTGGTCATGTGTTCCCCGTGCTGGGCATCCCATGGTTTATATAGATCAAACTTCTAGTGTTGCAAGAAAGAAAAGAGACATGTACATGCGCTTGAGATATGTATTTGTGATTTGTCATGAATCTGGTTTGACCCATGTGAGGTGGGAAGTGTGTTTTGCCCTAATCAACAGGTTGGTTTGATCTTGGCAATCCACAAATAAGGATAAATAAGGTGGACAAGTCAACGAGAGTATGTGGTTTTGTGTTTTACTCTTCCTCCCATGATCATTAGCAGCTTTAGTCTTTGCACGCTTCAATGTTATCGGCTCTCTTCAATCCTTTGCAGGCTCAGCAACAGTCTGATGCTTCTTGTGTTTGGTCCACCAGAAAGATCAGACACAAGGAATACCGTTGGACAGAAGGTCAGGCTTAGCCAGGGCATGGAGGCACTGCTCCAACCAGGCGTGGAAGCGGAACGTTTGAAGCGCCGGGAGGACTCGTGGGCGATGGAGGGGGCATTGCATGATGGGTTATATAGATGAAGGTCTGAAGGTCGTGAAACTGAGAAAACATCTAGACTACTATAGGACCCTGTTTTATAACAGGCAATTGTGAGGCGAACGTGCGAACGTATACTGTATGTTGAGTGTTGTTTTGGAAACGCGCAAGTTGTTGGAACGGTGTGTAGACTACGACATCCGGATGACCACATCGCCACGAATCGTTCCCTGGCCTTCACCGACCTTCCCCCCCGGTCGGATTCGTGCTCGCAAGCCTTTTTGGCATATAGGCGGATTCCTTCTCCGATTTTTTCAGGCGCATGTTTGCCGGTTAAATGGTCCTCGCTCCAACAAACATGGTTGAGTGAAAACCACCTGTTTGGATCTGTTTGGTATTCGGAAAATGTTTTTCTTTGGGGGGTGCCCTCTTTCCATGAGGATGTTTCAGGGAGTGTAGGTAGTACTTCTTGGTCGCTGAGCCACTCATTTCGCGCAGGATTTGCGAAGCAAACACACTCGACTGCAAGGACGAGGACCAGCGTGCCCCGGTGCAGGATGGGACTACCGGGAGTGAGCTACGAGGCAGCGAGATAAGAATGATGGGATCTTTCAGCATGAGTCGCATGATCACATTGCCATACATTGCCTTCAACATTCTGAAGTTAGGCCAATAGAAGTGGGAACCCCATGAAGTGGGAACCCCATCAATCCACATACTGGGTGCTTTGTGGATCCCTAGGGCATGTTTTTTGTTTGACATCCTCAATCAGCTTTCTCACACCTCTCAGTTCACCGACCTTTATACTGTAGATATTAGTGGATATATGTGTTTGTTGCAGGTTCGGTGAACATAACGATGAAACATGATGAAACGGATGCATTCCGGCTCCGGTGGAATAGCTTCTCCACGAGTCGTCTTCGCCAAGGAGCCGCTCGACGCAAGACATTCCGTGCAGGTGGGACTGCCGTGCCGTGAGGCTATGAGGCAGCGAGCGAGGTAGCATAGAAGGAGGGTTGATGAATCTGCACATCAGCCATCAGCATCCTCAAAGTTGGTTGCTTTGGGTTGATGGAGGCGAGGATCATCTACACCCACTGCCCATGGATGAGAGTACAAGGTATAGATGTTGCTCCCTTACTTACCTGAGTTGTGCAGTTTGTGTCAGTAACCTCGCAATGGACGTGTTCTTTTGTAAATGACTTCCCTGAGATAACGTAAGAGTTTGAGTTTCCATGATGTTGCAATAGCATGTGGGCCCCTTGCTTGCTAAGGATTTTCAGGAGAGTGTGAAAGATGGGAAGTTCATGGTGCGTAACCATGGAGTGCCACTAATGCAGACCTCTTTTTTGGCAAGTCAAGGAATCTAGCTATAGCTAAGCCTCGCTGTTTGTCTCGTGTTTGCCAAGACCACATCAACGCCGTCCGTGGTCGTGGTTCAGAGCTCCGATCCATGCAACTCTCGCAATCGGGTCGGTGGTCTGTTGATGGTGGCTGGATGTATTTGGATGTCCCAACTCCCAGGAAACTGACAGGAGTGTGGTTCAAATCATCAAGGCTCTTAAGTCTTAAGGATTATTTTTGGCATGTTTGCCAATGGGTGATTTGTGTGTGTGTGTCATATGTGTCCTTTTATTTTAGTTGTCTTGGACATAGCAACCTTCTTCCAATGAGTGGTGTCAGCTAAGCACTTATGTGAAGGCAAGGATCGTGAGGTGGAAGGTTCCTCCGCGCTCGTGGACCTCCTCTCTTTGGCTCTAGACCGGATGGCCTATTCAATAAGAGTATCTTCCTTCAATGTCCATGGAATTGGGAATGGCAGTGATATCCGAAATAGACATGAGCAACAATTTTGGGCCTGGACCTGTTTCATCCCAAGAGCCAACAGCTAAGCCACTTCTTCATGCAGAATTTGTTAAAGGGTTTGCAGAGGCGTTGCAAACCAATCTTTGGAAAGTACCCTCTCACCCCTCAGCTTGTGCGAAGATGGAAGAGGTTGCCTTCCACCCTTTGGTGATCAATGATTTGCAGGTTGCCATTGAGATCGCCTGTCAAGAAGGTCAATTCCGCGTGCTGTATCCTGAGGGCAGAGCTCAGGTGGCCAGTCGGTCCTTTCAAATGCGGTTGCGTGAAGATGAACGCATTGCAGTGACGGTGAAAAGCTCGAAATTCGCTCACACTGACGACTTGATTGCATCCCAAGTGGATGAAGACTTCCGCCAACGTGTGGAACATTGGCTGAAGCGGGAGCAACGAGCTACTCGAGAGGAGGAGGAGCAAGAGAGACTGAGAGCAGCAGAGTTGGAAGAGAAGATGAGATCCAGTCAATGTCACAGGAGGATTCTTTCAAAGGAGACCGTTTGTCTTGTTTGGGTGACAGTTGGCCTTGCCATTTCCTACTGCGTGTGCTTTCTCAATTGGTTTGCCTTTGTTGCGTTTGCGTGGAAGTTGCTTGGGTTTGCTGGGGCTGTATGCCTGGCCTTGCTCTTCTTTTGCATGGACAGGGCAACGTCGAACACCACGACATGGCAAAATAGCTTGCTTTGGATGGCCAGTGCTTTTCTATGTTTTGGCTCTTGCTATGTATTTCTGAGGATCCTGCAGGACGAGCAGTATAACTCCCAGGTATATGAGGCCCCCAAGTATGTTGTTCTGGTAGTTGTGGCTTTCTCTGCAACTGGCCCCATTATCGGCATCGTCGCGCGCCGCATGTGCTTGGCCAGCGGCCTGCAACGCCGGCAGTGGCACCAGGGGGCAAGTTTTGAAGGAAGGATCAGTCAGGAGTCACTTTGCATCACTCAAAGTCCTGAGTTCTTTTGCGTTTTGAGTCCAACGTCGTATTGTCCCCAGTCACTTGTCAAGTCCAAGCACTTCAAAGTCCAAAGTCACTTGTTGCATTCTGAGTTGTTTTGGGTGTTTGTGTGTGTCTTTTCCGCGAGATCGCCTGAGCGAAGGGTTCTTCTAAGAGAAGCAGGTGCACTACAGATCATCACAACTTACATCCGCACATATCCACACCAGCACATCTTCACATCTTTACATCCTGCATCTTGAAATCCGTACGTTTCCTGACATGCACATCGTCACATCTGCATATCTTCACATTTGCACACTCTGACATTGGTTTTCAGTTAACTCAATTCCCAGGAAAAATGGCGATGGAACCGAAAGGTGAAAGGGTCGGAGCACTTGAAGATGTTTCAACAATAGATTGTGCACATCTGCAGTTCACGAACGCGCGGCAGCTGAAGGCGGCTGAAGGAAAAAGGCTTGGGGGAAAGTATCGTGGAACCACCATGGAAACAAACAAGGAAAGAGTGGAGTCACAGCTTGTAGAAAAGTTCTCGCAGGTACACGGGTGATCAATCCGTGCTTCCCACTCCAAGGCATAGCTTCGTTGCACTGAGTTTGCCGAGGAGTGCTCAGCGCCCCTGCATTCGAAGCTCTTAGTTACAGAGGTTGACACACACACACGGTGCCGCTTTGCGGCGCTCGTGCGAACGACCTGAATAGGCACCTAAAAAGCCTTTGAAACAAAAGAAAGAAACACAGAAAGAGCAGCGCTAAGAGGGCAAGGGAGAGGTAGGAGTAGAAAAAAGTGAATACTTAGCTCTTGACTGGGGTAAGTAAGGGAAACGAGCCTCAAGAACAACCTAAAAAGCCTGAGAGAAAGCCCAAGAAACGACCAAAAGCGCAAGAAGGAAAGCGGGGTGCAGGGAGGTGTATGTACATGTGTGTGTGTCCGTGTGTGTGTATGATTACCTAGCACTCTAGAGTTACTGAATACTTAGCCGAATGAATCAGGCGCACTAGTTAGGGAGCGGGACTTTTGTCTTACACCGCCCGGGTAGAGTAGGCTTGAAAAGGGACAACAGAGGGAAAGGCACCGACACACAAGTGTGCCGAGTACCAGTTCCCTCTGTTACCCTAATTAGAGGGGGGGAGGGGTTGGGATGTTTAGGGTAGAGAACACGTTTGGGTTTATTCTCCGTTGGCCCGACGGCATAAGTTGCAGGGAATACAATGGTGAGACCAAATCAGTTAAGAGAATCCAAAGTATGAAGGAAAACGGTGGAGTCTGTCTGTTACACGAATTCCGAAGTGAAAACAGCGCCTCCTTGCGGAGGGTCACACCCAGCACCCAAGTGGGACGACTGAGCGAGTCACACTTTGACATTTGTTTTCAGTTAACTCAATTCCCAGGAAAAATGGCGATGGAACCGAAAGGTGAAAGGGTCGGAGCACTTGAAGATGTTTCAACAATAGTTTGTGCACATCTGCAGTTCACGAACGCGCGGCAGCTGAAGGCGGCTGAAGGAAAAAGGCTTGGGGGAAAGTATCGTGGAACCACCATGGAAACAAACAAGGAAAGAGTGGAGTCACAGCTTGTAGAAAAGTTCTCGCAGGTACACGGGTGATCAATCCGTGCTTCCCACTCCAAGGCATAGCTTCGTTGCACTGAGTTTGCCAAGGAGTGCTCAGTGCCCCTGCATTCAAAACTCTTAGTTACAGAGGTTGACACACTTCGACATTGGTTTTCAGTGACTCAGTTACCACGTTGGGAAAATGGTGAGGGAACGGCAAGGCGCATGAGTCGGTCCAAACAGTATATTGTTTAAAAATGTTTCCGCAGGTGCAAGTCTGCAGTCGGCGGCTGGCTGCAACTCACGATCGGCCAAGAAGTGCAGTGGAAAAACCGGTTTGTGGGGAAGGTAGCATGAAGAAGGACCATGAAAACAACGAACAGCGGCAGGGTGGACCAGTGGAGTCAATGTGTTGAAAGCAGGTACGTCAGTTCCGCGTCCGGAACTAATATCAGTACCGCCACAGAAGCCTCTTCGTTGGACTGTCACTTCTGTGGGGTAGACAGTCCCCCTGCTGGTGAGAGTGGAGGTCATGGAACTTGAAAGGAAACCCTTTGTCCAGGGGGCGACACACACAGATCGCCGTCATCGGCGCTTTTTTCAAAAGCGGTGGCAGGCGTTGTGTGGAACGTTGAAAGTGGAGCTTTGTACAGAAAGCGCCAGTATTGGCGCGCGAAAAAACTAATAGTCACCTAAAAAGCCTTAGAAAGACAGACCAAGCAAACGAAAACAAAAGCAGACTAAGAGGGCAAGAAAGAAAGATAGGCGTAGTTACGAGGCCCACTTAGTTAAATGAAAGTAGAGTGAGAGCGGGACATTTGTCTTAAACCGCCCGGGTAGCTAGCAATAGGCTAGGAGAAACAGAAGGAAAGGCACCAACACACAAGTGTGTTGAGTGCGATTTCCTTCTGTTTCCCGAGTAGCGGGTGGGGTAGCAAAGGGCCCAGGGGTAGGGAGGGGGAAAATGCATAATTAATTTGTCCGGCCTGTGAATACTTAGCAGCACATGCACATGTGAGTACTTAGCCGTCAAGAAAAACTGTATGCAAGTCCGTGGAAGTGGAAGCTGCCGTGTTTGGGCCCGGCGGCCAATGCATCAGTTGATTCTATGGTTGTGTCGGTGACTTCCGGTGGAATTCCCGTGAAGAGTGGTGAGGTCAGTTAATGCTTGCACGATGAGACAGCGCCCCTGTGACGGGGATCACACTCAGCACCCGAGTGGGACGGCTGAGCGAAACACACTTCGACATTGGTTTTCAGTGACTCAGTTACCACGTTGGGAAAATGGTGAGGGAACGGCAAGGCGCATGAGTCGGTCCAAACAGTATTGTTTAAACATGTTTCCGCAGGTGCAAGTCTGCAGTCGGCGGCTGGCTGCAACTCACGATCGGCCAAGAAGTGCAGTGGAAAAACCGGTTTGTGGGGAAGGTAGCATGAAGAAGGACCATGAAAACAACGAACAGCGGCAGGGTGGACCAGTGGAGTCAATGTGTTGAAAGCAGGTACGTCAGTTCCGCGTCCGGAACTGATATCAGTACCGCCACAGAAGCCTCTTCGTTGGACTGTCACTTCTGTGGGGTAGACAGTCCCCCTGCTGGTGAGAGTGGAGGTCATGGAACTTGAAAGGAAACCCTTTGTCCAGGGGGCGACACACACACACACATCTCTCTCTCTCTCTCTACTTCTGCCTGCAGGACGTGCAGGACGTCCATTAATTTGGTCTAGTATAGTATATATAGTGTCTGAACATATTCTGATAATTCAGTATAGTGCGTAGAACCAGTGCTGACCAACCCTATGCAAACAACACCTCTTCACCATTGAGGCCTGGCACAGCGTGTGTTGCCTCTTGGCCCGGCATCTATGAAACAGCCCGGCGGCGATTGGTCAGGCACGCCCACGGTCAGCAAACAAGTGCAGCAATGGTTTTCCCACCCAAGGTCACTCAGTGCTCCGGCGAACACAGCCCAATCCCGAAAGAGGAAGGGCTACAGGGGGAATGCTGGTGCTGGGCACTCTATGGCGAAAGGAGGCCGTCAGGCTGCAAGTGGTTTGCAATATGGATTCAGAACATCCACAGAGCCATGGAGTGCGGTGCCAACCTCCACGTGTATTTTCGGGAAGGATTTCGTGGTAGAGGAAAGGCAGCAAGCTTCGCGAGCGTCGGCCAAGAAAATTTCAGCAGAGAGAAAGTGCGAGTGAAGATGAAGGACTTTGAAAAATCCAATGAATTTGAAGATGCTAAGCAAGCTGGTTTGGTGAGGCTTTCTGACATGAAACGCTATGATGGCTCTTCCCAACAGAGTCGAGAGAAACAACGGCTTTTCCTGGGGTGGTTGTCAGCAGAAGATCGCAAGGTCTTGGAGGATTCAGAGGGATTGGGCGATTCCCAGCGAGCCGAAGTAGCCTGGCTCGATAGGAAGGGATATCCATACATAGAGATGGATGTGTCTCCCTTTATTCAGCCATCAGATGAAGAAGGGATCGCAGTGGATGATGTGCAGCCCACGTTGGTACAAAAAGAACTTCATTCGGAGTTGTGAGAATGTTATTGCCCTTGACTCTGCATTGTCGAAACAAGTTTGAGATTCATTTCACCAAGTTCAGTTTCACTGGTTTTATGGTTTTACTGGAACCTGCTGAAGCAGAAGAACGCTTCACCAATATATTCGGTTGAAGAAGCACATCAGCACATTTGCACATCCGTTTATTGCGACACCAGGCATTTTCATGCGGCCCAGTGTGCTTTTGAGTTCGAGAAAAATAACAGGTCCCAGTGGAGCCAAGGTGGACCGCCTACAACGCAAAGTCTCACCATCACGACCTGGAAGAACGCGGTTTGCGCCAACTCATGGGGTCACCGGACAAAAGATGCGGGTATATGCGGATCATTCGTTGCTTAAATCATGCAGCTGTGCTAACAACACTCGGTTTCATGTTTTCCCATGTTTTCCCAATCTCTGGCTGCCACACCAGTTTCTCATTTTGTTGGGAGTGGCAATTGTAATTGTAATGATTAACAGATCCTGAACATGTAACTGGTTCAGATCGCGCAACCATCCCTGCAACTCAGACTTTGGGACAGGTGCACTCGCAAGTCCCAGTGTTTGGTGGTACCTCTTCACACACAACGAGCTGGCCAGGTCGTCGAAACCACGAAGGTCGACCCTGAGACGAAGGAAGGCCCGCTCATGGACCGCCGCTCGTGGACCGCCGCTCGGGAAGGCGTGCAGATCTCGGCCCGGGCGGTGGGAAACCGATCAAGCTGGAGCAAACTAAGGGGGTTGAGCTGGAGCAGGCTGACACTGGCCTAGCTCCAGAGGTTCCGATATGGACCGAAATGGACCAACTGAACGAAAATGGACAGGGAACCAAGAGGTTTGATATCATGTTTTTGGACAATATGATTGGGAAGTAGGAGCCTTTTGATTCGTGACACGAGCAACTCGGCATTCACTTGAAAATCCATTTTGCAACTTCAGCAGCGCGGCTGATCCCTGAACTACAGTGGGACGCAAATACGGCCCAAAAACTGGAAGCCCACAACTTAGTCTGTTGGTCAATTTGGGAAGTGTTGGATGGTCTATAGACTATTGACTATGTTTCATGTTGTTTGATATGTTTTTCCCTGCGCCACCAGCATGTCAACATGATCAACATGCATCCACGCTTGACCAGTTTTCGATGGAGGTTTGTAAAAGATGACAAGGATGATCACATTGCCACTATTCAGAAGCTTCCCTCCAGCAAGTCACCACCAGAACCCCCTAGACCTCAACTCCTCCACTCTCCCCAGACCTCCTGGGGCATCCGTCTTGTCCCGAGCCCGGGAGGTCTTCGGAGGTCTCCGGCTGGAGGAGGCCAACTTCGCAGTGCTGAGGATGGAAACCATTTCAGAAAGGGGCGGGTACGCGGGGTGGGCCTTTACGACTACTAGCAAGGATGCGACTAGGTTGGAGGCCATCGCTACTAGGTTGGAGGCCATCGCTACTATCGGAACAAGAAGCTACTGGGACGGGTACGGAGGTGGGCCAAGAACTGGCCGTGTCTCCTTGCATGAGATACAGACGCCAATTCTCACTGCTCAGGAGACGGGGACGACGCTTCACAGCTGACGTGTCCAAGGAGACCCCACGAGGTGTCATCCTTTTCAGCTTGTCGTTTTTGGACTGCAAGACTGGTCGATGCCAGAAGTCTGGCAAAGAAGTCTGAGATTTTGCGAGGTGTCTTGACTTTTCCAACAAAACGTGTGCAGTATTGTTGTCTGGGATGACAAGAACCCCAAAACATGTTGTTGGAACCCCAAAAGGTCCTTGTTGGGATTCCTTCCGGACCTTGCCGGAGACCTTGCCGCACGCGGCGGAAAGAACTGCCGCCGAGGCAAAGAGCCAAAAGCGCTGTGCGCCCACAGATCAGGAGGATGGAAGTAAGAAAAAGGGGGCCAATAAGCAAACAAGCAAGCAAGAGAACATCAAGCAGTTGAAGGAAGGATCGTTTTTGAGATGTGCATTTGACCTTACTGTCTCTTACTTGTAGTCCTGTGTCATGTCTCCTAACCAAAGTGGACTGGGTTGGTCTACTGCTAACCCATGCATGTTCTGCATCTCGCTAGCCTCAAGACATCTCAGAGCCTCAAGACTGAACTGATGCAGTCATCGGAGCTGCAGATGGAGAACATACATGAACCCAGATGGCCCAGACGGATTCATTGCAAGCCAACCAAGCTTTGTTAAAAGAACTATATACGCAAGCGGGTTGACCTATATACGCAAGCGGGCGCGGGCGGTGTGTCAGCTCTCTGCGACGAAGGCTCCTTCGCAGCAGGACGGGCCTGCGCTACTGGCACCCATGTTTTGGTTGAAAGGCCAATGAACAATGTTCAATGCGGTTCATACTTTTGTGGGAGATTCAGAAATGAATCTGAATAGATGGCACAAATCATGTCACCCAAAGAAGTGGTGGGGAGCTTCAGAAGTCGCCGAACCACAGAATCAGCAATTATGAGTATGTGCCATGCAAAAGCTATGCCATGTTGTGTGCGTGTTTGTGTGCGCTGGAGGGATGCTGAAAAGCGCAGGACGGTGGGACTTGATATATACAAATGTTGCTTTGGAGAACAGCATTTGTTCCCGATGGGAACACATCCCAACTGTTTGTTTGGCATCCGGACATGTTCTCATCCGCAAATTTGTTCACATCCATGTTTGGAGAACATCTCGAAAAGAGGGTGGCCAGTGGCAGTTGGATCATGTTCCCTTTATGGATCCACTGCCACCCTTTGTCCGGTCCGCTGGTGTGTTCAACGGTGCTACCGTGGTAGTCGGGTCTGGTCGTACCTTTTCACCTGTTTCACGGTGGGACGTGAAAGCGCCGCTCTGGGATGGAAGAACATCAAGAAAGGGGGCGACTCTTATCATGCCCACGCACGGTGCCGATGGGAATGGCATCATTTTCCAATCACCTGGAGTGGCTGAACCGGAGTATATAATATATACATGCAAAAGTTATGCCATAGTATGCAAAAACAGTCATGTAACACTCATGTCGTGTGTGTTTGGTATGAGTTGCAGTAGTCCTAGTGAACATTAAACCAAACACTACCCCGCCCCACCTCAACACCGGAAGACATGGTGTTCACGAGTCAAACGTGTTCACGGTCTCCAAGCTCAAAAACCCGACCCAAACCCTAAACCCACCACATCCCGCGCCCCCAACCACCTCACAACCCATCCCAAATCCCACAGAATGCGAGACGTAAGTGACCAAGTGACCTTCGATGTTTTATGTTGATTCCGAGACGCAAGTGATCACACTGGTTTCTTTGGAATCAGGTGATGTATTGTTGAATTTTCCCCAACTGGCTAGGATCCCCTTCTATAGGTCGGGAAGATGTTTTGAAGTCCAGACGCAACCCTTGGACCCTCATCTGGAGGGGGTTTTCAGGGACCCGTTGGTTGGGCCGGTGTTCACGGTCTTCCGCTCACTGAAAAGCCACCAGGCGCCATGGATCCGTCGGAGGCCGGCGCGCCGCGGCGAGCCGCAGCTCGCGTGTTGATGTGTCGACGAACAGGCGGCACAACAGGTGCTTTACGTAGGTCGGAGCCATGTGGGTTGTTTAGTGGGAGTATATCCAGCTTGATTTTGTTAGTTAAGAACATGAGTGTATCCAGCTTGGTGAATCCAGAGAACACTTGATGTGTTCATCATATTTGATTGGTAGATCTCCTACAAGAAATGTGTGGATGATTGTTTGCCCATACTTGCCCGCCCCCTGGCTAGCTAGGCTGAGCTAAGTCTAACTTAGACTTATAAGTACTTATAAGTATGTAGCTTTGACTTAGCTTGGACTTAGCTAAGACAAACTTAGCTTGGACTTAGCTTAGACTTAGCTTGGACTTAGCTTGGACTTATAAGTACAAGCTAAGTCTAAGCTAACTTACAATATTTTCTTTAAAAAAATCAAAAATATAAAATTTGTATAAATGATCTCATGTGAACAAAAAAGCAACG